GTGCAGGTGAGAAGCAATGGGAGGAGCATTCGTGTAGACAGAGGATGCTCTCTAGGTGGTGAGTCTGGGTTGTGCAGAGGCCACCATGCCAGCACTCTCAGCCTCTGGGCCCTGCCTTGAAAGGATAAGCAGAACTCACACCATCACTGCACCCACGAAAGGAAGTCCACTGAGCGGCCCGTGGGGAGACGAAGCTGACCCTTCAGCTCTCACCCACCATCCCCTCTTCTTGCTGACCTCCCCCCATCCCCCCCAGCTCACCAGGCACAACTGGCTACACTGCTGATGGGGGACCAGAGATGGGAACTGCAGGTAGACGATGCGACATTGGTCTGGGCTCAGCCGAGGAGAAGAGACAGCCAGACAGTCATCTGAGAGGAGCTCTGGACGAGACAAAAACGTGAGCATCACGCAGGCTGTCAGGGCCATTGTGTGTCAGCAAAGCACAGGTAGATGCCAGCACTTACCACACTTCCCCTTGATGAGGTCCACATAGTACAGAGCTGACCTGGAACCATCAGAGAGACACTCAGCTTCAAGGCCAGTCTGAGCTACAAGGCACCCTTGCTCTGCCCCTTCGATTGTTCTCACCTTCGATTGGTGCAGAAACGGATGCCCAGCCGGAAGGGCTCATGCCACCAGCCCACGAACACCACACCTGTGTCTCCAGGGGCCCAGAATGCCTGTAAACAAGACCACAGGGCAGATGTGGATAAGGGGCAGTAGCTCAGGCAGGGCCCTCAGACTCCAGGAGTGATGTGGGCAGAGTCAGCACTAACCTGTCCGGGAGACACACTCTCAGGGACCCCCTCAAGCACAGAGATGTTGCCACTCTCGACATCCAGCACGCAGAGCACAGGAGTGCTTTTAGAAACCATGTTTTCTCCCCAGTCTTCGTAAAACAAGAACTGATCCCCCTGAGAATACAAGACATTCAATGCCCAGCTTGTCTTGCAGGACCCTGCCCTGCCCTGCCCTGCCCTCTAGAAGCCAGTGCCTCCCTGGTTCTGATAGACGCAGTGTGCGTAGAAAGCAGACTGAGCCCCAGGCTGCCCTGAAGGGCCTTTGTGGACTCGCCACGGCCACAGCACCTTAATGGCCTGGTCTGGCTTCTTCAGCCTAGCCATCTCGTCATCGCTGCCACTGATGTCCAAGGCTTTGGTATGAAAGAAGGACTCAGCCTTGGGACGCTTCTTCTCTGCCACGTATAGTAAGTGTGTCTCCGAATGCGACCAGGACAAGCAGCCAAAGCAGTCTGGGTGCAAGGAGGGCTGATCAGGGGGAGCCCTGGGTTATGGCTGCCCCTCCTGTCCACCCTGCCTGCTCACCAGCCGGCTGCCTCACCATCTTCATAAACTGGCCCATGTTTCTCCAGCGCCGACAGGTTGAAGCTCTTGAGCTTCTGGTTCTTCTCCCAGACCTGAGGACATCTGGGAGTGAGGTTGCTGTCCTTTAACAGAGCCTCATCTGTGGGACTGAGCCTGTTTGCCCACCACCTGGTCCCACGCAGACTTACTTCCAAAAACTGCTTCTCCTCCCCTGTGCCTGGGCCTCCAGCCTTGCGCAGCACAGCTTTCATGCTGCCTGAAGGAGATTCTCTGCTCAGCAGCCTAAGGAGGATATGGGGTAGCAGGTTAGAATTACCTCCCACCCAGTAATAGCCCATCCTGTCCCCTTACTGGCCACAACCTCTTTGACAAGATTCTTGAGGCTCTGGCCTACATCCATCCCTGCACCCCTTCTAGCGCCACCATGGCAGCTGCCTTGCATCCCCTCCCTCGAGCAAGGCCTCTAGACCTGGCCCAAGTTTGGAGCAAGCCTTCAGTGTTTATGACCATGTCACTAGAGACCACCTGAGCTCCCAAGGGGCAGGAACCTGGCTCCCAGCCTCCCTTCTAGGCCCTACTGACACCAAGGCACATGGTGGGCATTTGTAAAAGGCTTGCAGATGGCTGTGGCCTTGCCCACAAGCTTCCTCCCTCAAACTTACTCCCCCCGGGTCTCCACACTGTTGCCCGCAGGCCCTGCAAACACCACTGAGTCCCCGTCATGGAACACCAGGTACTGGCGGCAGAATCGGATGTTCTCCATGCGTTCCAGGTCCCTCTGGATCCACTCTGCGAGGAGAGGCACGAGGCTGCTCAACTTGACTAGTCCCAGCACAGGCTGCTCTACCCAACCCCAAGCAGGCCCAGCCCACCTCCCTCAATCTGTCTTCAGATATTCTGGGGGCAGGATGGGCAGAACTTGGCCACAACTCAAGACTAGGCCTGCAGAGCCTGAGCTGACAATATCTTGGAGTGTAACCATTACTGCCCCAAGCATCCACTCTAGAACCTTGAGGGTGGATATGGGATAGGATGATGAGGGTGACTCTTACTCCCACACTCTGCACCCATTGGCACCATCCCGTAACACCCCAAAGAGCCCCATATACACCTGTGTGCAAGGACCTCTGGGGGATTCACCCTTCCACTCCTACACTCTACAAGCCCAGTTTCCTCCACACATCCGTGTGCACTGTCAGGCAGCGAGCCTGCCTTCACACCCTCCTCCTCTCCACTCGAGTGCATGGCCCCGTAAAGAGCCCGCCACCGATTCCTCTCCATATACACACCAGTGTGCACCGTCCGGTAGTGGCCCCCGTACTGCGTGGTGACCTCCGGGCCCAGGCAGGCGGCGCTCAGCGCGGAATGGCGGCTAAGGCCCCGGTACAGCGCCGCCGCCTCTTCGGGCTCGCTCAGCAGCACCTGCGCAGGGGACACACGAGGGTCAGGCCCAGCCCGGGCTGCAACGACCACGGGAACCGCGAGCCGATCCCTCACCTGCCGCTCCATGTTAGCCCTGGGCGGTCCGGGTGGTATTACGGGCTGGCGCCCGGAAGTGAGACTCCAGGGGCGGAGCCGAGAGCGGCCCCGCCTGTCTCCGTCGCGGCCTCGCCGCTTAGTGAGCGGGGCGGGACCTTCGACGAATGAGCGAGGACCCTTAGCAGGGGGCGGGGCTTCTACGGGAAGGGGGTGGGGCCTGGGAGGAAGAAGGAGCTGCGGCCCAGAGTCCTGAAGGGAAGGAGCGAGTCCTTTTGGGGCGAACTAGGTCGGTGGGAGGAGGGCTCTTTGGGCCAATTCCCATGTCTGTTACTGGGAGCGGCGGGAATGGGATTTCCGAGGAGAAGGGGTTGCGCTGTGGAAACAGAATAAAGAGTGGGTCTTTAGGGAGGGGGGAGGCCCGTGAGGAACAACAGGGCCCACGGGAAAGGGGGTGAGGCGCGACGGGGGTGGGTCTTAAGCAATCGGGGGGCGGGGCCTGAGAGCTCTGCGGACCAAGGGCTCTTCGAGGACTTGAGGCGGGGCGGGGCAGGACTGAGTCCAGCGAGGGTAGTAAAGTCGAGAGATGAGGGGCGGGGCCTGAGGAGCGGGGTGCGAGCCGATGCCATCCCCAGCAGAGATCTCCCGCAGCCCGGAGGCTGACTGTCGGTCCTTCTGGTCCATTACAAGGCAAACATTCACCAGATGGTTCCAGGCCCTGCTCTGGAGGGGCTCTCAGGCCAACGAGAAAAGAAGGGCGGAGGTGCGCTCCCGGCCGAGCGCGCGGAACTCTGGGGTGTGGGGCAAAGGACGGTGCCAAGTTCACAGGGGTGTTGCCTGGTTTTATCGGCCACCAGGCCTACTCCAGAAGCTATCTGTTCCAGCAGCCATCACCCGCCCCGCTCAGTGGCACCTTGCTGGGATCGTGAGCAAAAGGGCCTCTGCCTCCCCAGGCCTCAGCCCAAGCTCTTGGGGCAGAGGGCTTGGTGGGGTCAGGCTCCACCCAGAACCAGGGAGCTTCCTGTGGAAAGAAAAACCTGGGCAGGCAGGCTCCCTGGGCACTGTGGCACTGGACTGGGTGGGTTATGTTGCCAGAAGAGGGCAGGAGAGACTGGGCAGCTATCAGGACAGCATTGATGTCCCATCCTCCGTATACCCTGAGACTGGCTGGTCTTCCATACCTCAGGGTTCTGACTCCATATGCCCTGCCTAGCCTTTGAGTGAGATCCTACTTGACTGGCCTGAGGCTTCCCCTTCCCCATGAACCACATCGGACTAGTTAAGTAAAAACAGTTTCCACTTTCTGAGGCCACTTGTATTTGTGAGTGTCTGGTGTGTGCAGGACTGTTAAGGCCAGAACTGGGAGCAGAAAGAGTGGCCCGAGCCACCAATCTGGGTGGAAAGTGGGAAACTAGGATATTCCTCAGCGTTCTTTATAACAGGAAAACTGGGAACATGGTGCCTGTCCTTCAGGGCACGTGCAGTAGACTGGCTGTAAACTCATAATGCAGCTCTCTGGAGGCTGAGCATTGGAGTATGAACATCTAAGTACTGCATGAACATGTAGAAACAAACAGGAGGCTAGAAAGCAGAAGATACTGTACCTTCTGGCTTCTGTTTAAAATGAAAAAGAAAAGCACAAATAGGAAGGACATGCATCAAGATATTAATTCGGGGAAAGGCCAGAGATGAGGCTGATCCTCTTTTCATTTACCTGTGTCTTTCAAGTTTTCTAGCAACTCTGGGTTACTTTGGTAAGGAGGCTCTCCGGTCTTGGGGAAGAGCTAAGACCTAGTAGCTCCCCAGAGTTTGGGGGTTGGAGGGCACACAGCAAGGCAGGTAGGTGTAGGGCTTGTTGGCAACACCAGGGGGCAGCACCCACTCACCTCCTTCCCGGGACCAGGCCCCAGAAAGCTGTGCAGCCCGGACACCCACAGGCGGAGGAGACACCGTATCTCAACAGTTCCAGCAGCGAGCTAACTGCTCCCTCCTGGTCCAAATGTTGGACCTGTCCTGGGGCACTTTGTGGAGGGGCCCATTGTCTTTGGACAGATTGGTGTAAACTCAGCCAGGGCCTTGCCAGTACTTCTGCCCCTTTGCCTTTTCCCTAACTGTGAAGAGACAGGATTGTCACAGCCTGGGGATTTGTTCCTCTGGCTAAGCCTTCCCGTTTCAGAAACCATCCCAGAGACAGTCTGTAGGTTGTTTATATCAAGTCCTTTTATTCTGATATCACAGAATTACCTTGTCACAATACAGGGGGAGAGACACAAGTACCACGAGTTCTCACAGAGCACAGGAGGACGGCACACAATTCACAAGGTCATGTGGAGGACTCGGGTCATTGCACTTACAACTGTAAACTTGTTTGTTTGACTTTGTACAGCACTCTTCCCCCCTCAAATAAAGAAGGAGAGAAGGAAAGAAAGAGAGGAAGGAAGGGAGTCAAGGAAGGAGTGAGGGGAAAGCAAAAACAAGACATGGAAGCTAGCAGAGGAAAGGCGTTGGGCAGCCACCACTCTCCAGGGCACTGCACTTAGAGAGAAGGAGCTGATTTGATCCCAGAGGCCAAATGAGGCAGACGTGCGCACACGTGCGCACACACACGCGCGCGCACACACACTCACACACTTGTTCACATGCATACACACACAATAGCTCACAATTTCCATGGCTCTCCAGTGCCACCCCAGTGCACATGGCAGCAGGGCTGCTGCTACCCAGGGAGACAGAAATGATATCTCTGAGGAGTTTCAGTTCATCAGGCCTGTCCCCCTGACCCTGTTGGAGTCCATGATGATGCGTATTTACAGAATGGGGGTTGGGAGCATGATGGCAGGGGAGGGGCAGACAGGCCAGGACCCTGCTGCCATGGCAAAGGATCTGCCTGGAAAACTCCCCACAGGCTCCAGAAGACAGGCCATAGTTGCTGCCACTGCTGCCCTCTCATCATAGGCCCTGAGACCACACTCTCTTCCCAAGGACTAAGTGGATGGTGGGGAAGGGAGGTGTCACTGTGAAGTGGATACACTGGGCCCTGAAGTGGACAGGGGAGGCAGTGCCCTTGCTCATGACACTGGGGGTGGGGAGCTGTGGAGAAGGTCTATAGTGCATCCCAGAGACCGCCTTGCCCACGTAGAGATGTGCTCAATGCTCCCCACTGCCCAAGGCACCAAATCCTAGTCCTTCAGCCTCTGGCCACAGCAGTATCTACACAAGGGCCAGGACACCTGTGGCCCAGAGGCCTGCTCCAGCCACCTTCACAAGGGGTGATGGGTACAGATGTGTCCTGTGGGTACACTGCAGGGTAGGGAGTGGCAGATGTCAGAAATTTCAAAATCAGAGAGGTTGGCCAGAAAGGAGATTTGCTGGAAAGTCAACATTTGAGGCTGACCTGCTGTCATCTCCCTGCCTGTTTCCTGCTCCTGGCCTCATCCCTTGGCCTTTTGTGGGAAGGATCACTGCCTTGGTCCCCAACGTATCCAGCCACTAGGCACATCTCCATACAGACTGAGCCCTGGGTGGTCCGAGGTGCTGGATGGTGGACTCCCTCAGCCCTTACACAGATGGCCTCATCCAGCCCAAGCCTGATCTCTGGGATGAGGCAGGTGTCCCATGGGATGGGTGAAGCCCAAATCCCAAAGGACAGGGTCTTGGGCCCAACACGGGGGTTGACAGCCTCCTATCTTATCCACGACTACCAGAGGTGGGCCAGAATCCCTCTGAAGGGTGTGTAGATCTTACAGGAAAGCATGAGAAACGTGGACCCCTGAGAACTGCATGGTACAGACCAGAGCACTCTGGAGGAAGGCCGGGCCTGGAGAGGTCAGGCAGCTGCCACCTGCTGCCCTCTTGGCTCAGTTGTAGAGAAGCTAATGAGCAATGGGATACTTAGGCTTCAGAGACGGGGGCTGGAAGGGAGTTTGGGTCTTGGGGACAGATGCAGAGTGTCACAACAGAATCTTCTGTATGTTTTGTTATTGAGAAGCTTCCCAAGAAACTCAGCTTGAGCCACGGTCTATGTGAACACTCACTCCAGTCCAAGATGATACTGTCAGCTGTCCTCACCACAAATGCCAAAGGTCCAACTCTTCCTGAACACTCCCTGACCCTCTGGCCCCAGCCTAGATCTCCTGGATCACAGACCTTTGAGCCTCCCAGCCAGAGAGGAGAGGCAGGGAGCAGGTGCAGTCAGGAGCTGGGGTCCCAGGACACAGCCAGGCTCTGCCCGTGGCCTGTCTTTCTGACTACAGATGCAGCCCAGCTCTGCCCTTGAGCAGTGCCTCGCTAGGAAGGGGTGGCCAGATGTCTCTGGCTCAGGGCTTGTGTAAGAGGGGGAAAGACTTACAGATGGAAATCCTACAGCAAACCTTCTGAATGTTCATGCACACACATCCTGTGCAGGCTCCCACCAGCACGTCTACTCCAGAGACATCTTGGTCAGAGAAACCGGCAAGGTGTGTGGTGCCTTGCACTGCCTGGCCTATGGCCTGGCATGCTCGGGCAGCAATTTCAGTGGGTCCTCACTAGCTCGTGCAAAAGTCAGCTAGAAGAACTCCTGAAGGAGAGGTTCTGAGACAAAAAGAACTCCAAGCAAAGGGGTCGAGCATTTAAAACGGATGAAATCGTGCAAAGAGGCTGCGAGCTGTGCATGCTCCACTGCAGGACAGGCGGTGACTCGCCTGGCAGCAGCGAGTCCTGCCACAGGTCAAACATGCCACAGACTGAGAATTTCACACACATGGTGGGGGCAGGGGCAGGGTGGGTGGGGAGGTGAGGGGTTTGATATGAGCATATCTATCCAGTTTCTCAATTGCAGATTTGCAATTAACTCCTTATACATAACATGGAATTTATTAAATATTAACAGTTGTCTTTGAGGGTTTATATTTCATTGCATAGAACGTTAGAGATGAGACTTGCGGCTGTGCCCAAGATGAAGGGAGGTCCCCAAGGGAAGGGCCTTGGGAGGGACCACCGCCCAGTCCACCGGGTGGATGGATGGTGCCACACTCCCCAACGCAGGGCTCTGGGCCCTTCCGTCGGCTGGCAGAAGCCCTAGCCCCTCTGCTCTGAGCACGTCCACTGGTGATGGCTTAAGAAGGACTGGAGTTGCACGGTAAACAGAGGCGGGCTGAGGGGCCTCCCTAGACCCCGCCCTGGGGTTGTGCTCTTGGTGGCCTGCTGCCCACTATTGCTTCTAAGTCAACATTCTCCCTGTGCTGAGCAGGGACAGAGCAGAGAGGAAACCAAACCTTCAGTCACAAGGTGGTGGTGGAGGGGAGAGGCAAGGAGCTGAGCCGAGAGAGAGAAGAGAGTAAAGGGGAGGGGCAACGAAAGAAAAATGTTTATGAGGTATACACTTAAATCAAACTGAAATGATTAAGGCTGTTCTTGAAATCAAAAGAAATCCCCAGGTGTATGAACGAGGAGCCGGCTGGTTGAGACAATGGCAGCGCCGCTGGGATGCTCATGATGACTGGGGGGATGGCTTTGAAGATGGTGGCGGGTGTGCTAGCACGCGGCCACCCATGGGCTGGGAGAAGCCGCAGCCGGCGTCCACGCTGCTTTTCGGTGCTATGGCCTCTTATTTCAGCGATGAGACAGTGTTAGGTCCTAATGTTTTAAAGTTCTCCCAAAACCACGCTAGCCACACAGAAGTCTGCTCCGGTGTCACCCAGAGGGCAGGGTGAGGGGAGCAGGGCCCTGTGGCCACAGAGGGATCCGGGCCAGCTGGAATGTGAAGGAAACGGAGCCCGGGGCCCCCAGCCCTCAGTCAAAGCCCCTCTCCAAGGCTGTGGAAAAACTTCTGGCGTTGTGGAGGGAGGGCGACGTCCATCAGAAACAGGCAGCGTGCGCCCAAACTCTGCGTATAACGCATTAGAAGCCTGGCTGGCCAGGCTGCAGAGAGGCGGCTGTGGAAAGAACAGCAGGACCACCAAATGGCAGGGTTTCCCGAGACGGTTCCTCCCTCCCAGCGATGGCTATGCCTTGAAGGCGGCCCCCTGAGGAGAGCAGGGTCTCTGAAAAGACACTCCCAGGTGGCCCCAGGCCAGTGGTCCCACTTCTCCAGCAGATGCTTCACCCCGGCAGCTGCTGTTAGAAAACATCCTGTCCTCAACTGAGGCCCACCTGCCACGTCCCACCTGGTGTGAGTCTTTGGGCCAAGGGTTTGTCAGATTGTAGATGCTTGGAGGAGGGCAGGAGGGAGGGGGAAGGAAAGAAGGAAAGACAGAAGGATTTTGTCAAGAACTGTGGAAGCTGCTTCCCACTCATGCTCCTCCCAGCTGTTTGCCCCGTGCTGACGGCCTAGCGCCTCCGCACCTACAGGATCCCACCAGACTGAGGCATGGGGAGATGGGTGCTTAGGCAGGTTTGAGGTCACAAAGAGAAAGTCAGGAAGAAAGAAGAATCAGGCTGGCCAGGAAGGGCCATTTCTTTAATACATGATGCTTTTTGTTTCCCTTAAAAATGAGGGAGATAGAATTTTGTTTAAAATGGCAAGCCCCTCCCAACCCACTTCTGAAATTTCCACAAAAGACACCAGGAGATGGACACTCACAGAAGCAATGACCGCTTGGCCCAATCATCAGCCAAATGCCAGAACTCGAGGGAGATTCTTTTAACTACAAAGTTAGTGGTCTCCATGGCCCACACACATCATGTGGCAGGACATGGAACAAAGCCACACCAGGGGTTCCTTTCCCTCCCCAGTGACACAGCCCTGGCCCTAAACCCAAGGTGGGTCCTGCCATGGATCTGGCCCATGGGCTGCCCCTCCTTCCCCTCCCTTCAACACTCTTTCTAATTTCACATCTGTTCCAGGGCGGCTCAGAGGAAACATCTGGCTAAGTGGGAAAGCGGTAGGGAGCCCACTGTCGTGGGGTGAGAGAAGGAAGAATGCTGGGGTGCTGCACTGTGGTTACTGTAATTAGAATAAATTCTGGGCTCTTTTACCTTTGCCTACAAAGCCCAACCCAGCTGGCTCACGCCCCCTCTGACTTCACCCCTGACCGTACCTCCCCTCCTCTGTGGCTCTGGCTCTGCTGGCCTTTTGTCTGTCCCTGAGGCCTACCTGTGTCATCAGAGCCTCCGTTGGTGCTGTTCCCTTCCGTGGGCACCTCCCACAGCAGCCTCTTCTCCTCCCTTGAGCTTTACCTGGTATTGACCACTTTCTTTAGAGTAGACCCTTCCACCATAATCCTGCTTCCCTGCCTTCAGAACACTTATTATCTTCAGAAATTACCTTGTAAAGTAATTCTTTTTAACTTATTTGCTCTCTGCCTCTCTTAATGGACTGTCAGCTTCAGAGGGCAGGGACTTGGTCTTGTTCTCTGCTATATCCCCAGCACTTGGAACAGGGCTCAGCACCCACCTAGAGCCTGACAAACATTTGCTGAATAAATGGATAGAAAACTGGGCCTTTCCAGCACCCTCACTGGTCCTGCAGAGACAGGTGGCCCTCTTGACACTATACCCAACTCCTTCCCACAAGCAGGCCTGGCCTGAGCAAGGACCTCTGCTGGCCCCAGCGCTCCCTGGTGATTTGCCTGCTGAATGCTGGGGCCTACCACACACATGCCTGTCCACCATGAGAAACACCCAAACCTCCATACTCTTAGTCCTAGAAATGGCAAAGAAGGGGCAGGAGGAGGGCCCCAAGGCTATGGAACGGGAAGATGTGGTACCTGGCTGTCTGCAGAGCAGTGCCAGTAACCAGGCTCTCCTCCCTGCCATCCTTGATGATGCACCACTTCCTCCTTCACCCACAGAGGCAGGGCCAGGGCCAGAGAAGGCTCTAGGCAGAGGCTTCTGATCCTGCCTTGGCCACTGCAGCCCAGACAGAGCCATCCTGAGGCTCTTCCACTCTCTCCCTGGGCTGACCTGGTCTGGATCCTCCTGTCCAAGTGCCTCCCTGTCCTCTTTGTCCCTTTCCTGTCTGCCTCTCCAATCATTCTGCTTTTCTTTCTTGCTGGTCTTGAGTCAATAGTATCTTGACTTCACACCAAGGGCTGCTAAGCTCGGCAGGGTTTGGGGGTTCTGGCTTCATTTGAATGTCTGGAGCAAAGCTACTGTACCAGACCTCAGGGATGAGGCTTTGAATCAGTTCTTGGCATACAGACCCCTAGTTGGGTGTGGTTGGCTTTTTTGGGCCCTTCCCCAAGGTTACTACTGGAGTCACCTCAGCCAGCTGAGTTGTCTCTGCCTTCCAAGTGGCTGCTGGGCCCATCCCAGCTGCAGGAAGCCCAACAGGCCCCTCCTCGTTGTAGGAACTGGGTGGGTTTGGTCAGCCAGGCCAGGTCCCACCCCCACCCTGGTCCTGATACTTACTGTTATACGCAGAGTCCAGAGCTGCGCCCAGGCCTCTGACTCCAGAGATTTTTCCACAGCAATAATATCATCTCCTTTCATTTCTTCAAGAGCCTGTGGAGTATTTACAGTGGAGGGCTGGAAGGAGCTGCATCATAGGGGGCCCCACCTATAACCCAATGTCAACTCATAGCTATGAGAGCTCTGTGGGGGCTCAGGGTGGTGGAGAAGGACAAGGGATCATTGGCCCTGGCTTCCCTTTGCTAGGGATCTCTATTGAGTTGGCCCCATAATGGGGCCTCTGTGCACAGTGTCTCTCCTTTTCCTCCTCCTCCTACCACACTCATAGGAAGGACACTGCAGCTCTGGCCACATCATCCGCTATTGAAGACTACAGTCCTCCCAGAAGACCCTGCAGGGCCCCCACAGGAGCGCCTCATGCCTTTCCCAGGGGGAAACTGGGTATAGGCAGTTCATACTCACCCTGCAGGGCATGGTCACCAGAAGGAGGAGAATTTTTTGCCAAAAGCAGACACAGCTGTGAAATAGAAAAGAGAGAGAAGCAACAGAAAATTGGGCTAGACTCCTTCCTAATCATGGCCATTTGGCACAGTGAAGCCAAGCTCAGCTGGAGGGGCAGGGACCACCCAGAGAACGACTAGGCAGCAGCAGGTGGGCCCTTGGGCTGGCCCGTGCCTGGGTGACGGGGCCCGGAACCATTCCCCAGACCTGACCCCTGCCAGAGTAGGGCCCTGGAGCAGCCATGCACCATGGCCCCAGCTGTAGGCAGTGCATACCTTCCGTCAGCTTGCCGGCCTGCTCTGCTGCCCCACCAGGGAGGATTTTGGAGAGCACGCTCTCCCCGTCGGCTCCTGGCGGGCCGGTAGGAGCTCCTGGGGTCCCTCCAGGCTTGGCTCCAGCCTTCAGACCTAAGGAGAAAGAAATCATCATGAGGCTGCTTGGCCTGGCTCTTCAGGGTCTGAGCGGGAGAGCAGTCACGAGGGAATCTGAACACGGGGACCCTGTGAGATGGAGGTTGAGGAGGAGGATAGAGGAATGAAGAAAGAAAGATTAAAAACAAGCAGAACAGGGGTGGGAGGAAGCAGAACAAAGGAAGTTGAGGAAGACAAAGGAGAAAGGGAGGAAAGGGCAGAGGAAGATGAGAAGGCAGAGGAGAAGAGGGAAAGGAAGGAGAGAGTTAAGAGCTCCCCGGTCCCTTCCAGCTTCCCTGCCCAGAGCTGCCTGGGCCCTAAGGCCCCAGTGCTGGTGACTCCACCGGCTCATTCTAACCCCAGGCTCATCTCTACTGGCGAGGCCTGCAGCCTACTAGGCATGTTCTCAGGGAGCAGTGAGGGCACGCAGTGCAGGGGGGCTCAGGGTGCCAGTGAGTGTAGGGAGATGGCAGCCCAGCTACTCTGGGTCATAGGCAAGGGCGCCCAAGGGTAGGCTCACCTGCAGGTCCAGGTCCTGGTAGTGGCTGGGCCTGAGGAGGCCTCCCCTGCTGCGGTGCTTTGGCAGTCCCTTTAGAGCCGTTTGCCTGCTCTGCCCGTGGCTGCAACACAGAACCAATAGCTGAGCTACCCCCCGTCAACTCTGCTCATGCCCAGCCTGGAACCAAGGAGCTGTCCAGCTGCAGTCCCAGCATTCACCCTGGGGAGGGTCCATGTACTGGAGCCCTACTTACCGGTCCTGCTGGCTGGGGGCCTGTGGCTGTTGAGGGGCCCGGCTGAGGCTTCCCTGTTGGCTGGCTGGCAGCAGGGGCCGGGCCCCGAGCAGCTGGCTGGCCCTGCTGCTGCAGCCGAGCCTGTGACGGGGCCTGCTGCGGGGGTTGTAGCCCAAGGCCTTGCTGTTGCTGCTGCTGCTGCTGCTGTGTCTGTGGCTGGCGAGATGCTGCCGCTGAAGGCGTCTGCCTGGATGGAAGCGGCTGTGACTGCTGTGGCCCTGGAGCTGCCTGCCGACCTTGCGGCTGCGGCTGGGATTCTGGCTTTGGCTGCAGTGCAGCGGGCCCTGAGTGGGCCTGCCGGGAGCCCTTCTTGCTCTCAGAGGCATGATGGTACGCTGACGGGACTCGGGATGGCTGGGAGTATTCAGCGGAGCTAGGGTACCCAGGCTGACCCTTCTTCTGCATGGCCGGGGTGGAGCTGGGCTGAGGGTGAGGCCGGGCCTCGTGGCGACCCAGGTCCCGAACGTGTGGTTTGGCAGCACGCCGGCCTGGCTCCTCACCAGCGTGGCGGCCTGAGTGCCGCCCGTGGTCACTGTGGTGCCGGTGTTCCTTGGTTGAGGCATGGCGGCCCGGGCCACCCTCATCATGTGGCCAAAGGCCCTCCTCGGGGGGCTCATCGTAGTCGTGGTAGCTGTGCCTGGCAGGGCCTCGCTTCTGGGAGGAGGAGGAGACTGCATGGCCCCCGTGGTGCCTGAACCGGTCAGAGCGGGCATCCCGGGGCTTATCAAACCAGTCTGTCTCCTCCTGGCCCAGGTGATACGCTTCAGAGACCAAAAACAGAACACCATCAACCCCTGGGCTGGCCGCAGGGGGAGGCCCAGCTGAAGCCATGCAAGGAAAACAGAGAGTGGGTGCCACAGCCACAAGCTTAACACTAGGCCCCCAGCCCCCACCCCCCACAACTGGGGCCAGGGGGCAGGTGGAGCAGGCAGGAAGGGCACCCTGCAGCAGGGCCCACTGGATGAGGCACCAGGCCAGGCCCCACTGGGACATCTCAGGGCCCAGGGCCCCTTGGGCAGGCAGGCACCCCACGTACTGAGCATCTGCCAAAATCACCCCCAGCTGCCATTACCTTCGCTGTCGGAAACTACGCAGTGGGAATCATCCAGGATGTAGCCCTCCTCACGCTTATATGCGTGGGCCCGCGGTCCATCCTTGACATGCTCCTGGACATCAGGCATGGAGTGGCTGGAGCAGAACTGCGGGCAGGTGTCCCCAGGGGGAAGGGTGCCCCCAGCAGGGCGGGGCCGCCCCAAGGGGCTGACAGGGCTCTCCTCTTCGGAGGCCTGGCTCCGCATAGGGGGCCGGGCCCGGCCATGGGCCATGCTCAGAGATGAGGGCTTGGGGCCTGCTTTTTGAAGTCGCTCCACAGCCTCCCGCTCCCGCTCATATCCCTTGGCCCGGCCACTGAAGTCATGGCTGGACAGCTTCTCCCCACTGTATGCAGAGGCCCCTCGGGACCGGCTGCTCCCACCACACATGCGGTCATCCTCCTCCACCAGGTCCCGGCTGGACACCCCGTAGTACCTCTGCTGCTCGTACACGTTCTTCTTGAGCCCATAGGTGATTTCGTCCTGGAACTTCCTGCCCCGAGAGGCCAGGCTGCTGCTGACTGCAGGGGAGGGGTAGGAGGCCAGGTCTGACTCCACATCCTTGGCCTCTTCGATAGGCGAGAACTTGGAGATCTTTTGCTCCATGCCCTGCTTCCGGTGCTTGCTGCGCTTTGAGGAGATGGCAGCCGGGGCCAGGCTCTTGGAGGGATGCTTGGGCCCCACAGGGCCTGGACTATACTTCTCTGCTCGAGCCCCATGTCGGTAGTCACTGTCACTGTAATAGTGGGTGCTGGCTGGTCGGCCATTGCTCTCCACGCTCCGGTGATGGCCGCTCTTCCCACGTGGGTCGTAAGAGTCCTCCTCAGATTCTTCCTCCCCTCTGGCATAGCAGCAGGGCAGTACGGGCCCCTCAAGGACACCTGGTTCTCCTGGCTCTTTTCCTGGACGCCCAGTGCTGCTCGGCCCCAGGGGCTCCAGTCGCTGGCTGTCGGAGGCAGTGGAGGTGCTGTCCTTGGTTAGCTCACTGATGTCGTCGATCATCACATAGTTCCGGGGGACGTTCTGCTCCAGGCTGGCGTAGTGTGAGTCGGAAGGGTAGGTAGGGGCTGGGCTCAGGTTCACACTGCTACGGTCACTGGCCCGTGGCAGCTCAGGGGCCTTGCCTTGTTCATAGCTGCTGGTTACTGCTGGGCCACTGTAGCTGGTTTCAGATGGGGCTGAAGACATGGCCACAACGGGGCTGGCAATCACCTCATAGTTGGTTGGCACCTTCTGCTCCAAGTCGGCTAGTGATGTCTGGCGTGGCTTCTGGTGGGGGGCACGGCTGTCAGCAGGGACTGGGAAAAGGGTGCTCTGTGTGGTTGGCATGGGTGTTGGGGCTGCATAATGGCCTGTGGGATGGAAAGCCGGCTGGCTTGGCAGGCCAGGCTCAGTGGGGTAACTGGCACCAGGAGGAAAGGCAGGTGCTGGGTATGTGCTGGGGCCAGGGTAGGTGGGTGCTTGGTGGGCTGGGAATTCGTTCTGAGTTGGTCCACTGCTACCTGCAGCGTACTGCGGAGCTGGAGGTGGGAACCGGGGCTGCTGGAAAGCAGTGGGACCAGAAGGGGTGGCAGGAGCAGCGGCAGTGACAGGGAAGTCTGTATACTGGCCAGCTGGGGTGGCACAGCCCTGGAGCCGCAGCTGGTTGAGCTCACTGTCTGACAGGTAGTCACGATGCTCCCCGAGACCACGCAAGGGTGGGTAGTCCCGGCTGCCTCGGTCTTTGGCCAAAGACTCTTTGCGCTGGGTGATGCCCAGCTCCAGGTACTTGAGCTTGGCGTCGATCTCCTTCTCCTCCTCATCCAGCTCTGCCTGCTTCTTGCGCAGCTTGGTGGACTCATGCTCCACCAGCCGCAGGTCCCGGTCCAGCTCCCGGAGCAGACTGGCCTTGGTGGCAGGGACAGCCGTGGGCCCCACCAGCCCACGCTGCAGCAGGCTGGCCGCATACAGCTGTGGGGGAGCCTGGCCAGCCAGGGGCAGGTGAGCCTCCTCTGGAGGGGGGCTGGGCAGTGTCCGCTTCACCTTGCGGACCAGGCCGTTGGGTGGCAGCGCCGACACCTGAGACAGAGGGAAGGGCGGGCAGCACTGAGACCCAAGGTGTGGGTGGCTTGGCGGGGCACAGGGTGGAAGAGAAATGCTCTGGGCTAGGGTAGGGGTGAGCTCCACAGCTGTTTGTCATCGCCCTGATTTATCAGGCCGCCGCAAGGCCTGACCTGCCCACCCACTGGCCTCAGAGGGAGGGCCTCTGATCATCTTACAGGCTTTCTTCCCATAGCTCTGGAAGGTGGGAGGGGAAAGAAGGAGCAGATGCCCCTCTGTGCTGGTGTCTAGTACTGGCGTAGCACACAGCGGCTCTGGGAACCCGTGCAGGTCTCTGAGGGTCAGTCACCCTCCACCTCCTACTGAGTGTACCAAGGTGAGGACAGTACAGGTCTGGCTCTGGGTTGGAGTCCTAGCAGCTGGCAGGAGCCAAGGGCAGTGAAGGGCCGTGGATAGGAGGGGAGTGGGTCCTGGGCCCCCCAGTTCCCTAGAGGATCATAGAAAGGGCCACATGCTGCCTGGGTGTCAGTTGCTGTAGGCTCTGAGTCTTTTTCAGCCTCCTGCCCTCCTCCTCTCTAAAGTGATCTGCAACTCAGACACCTGCCCACTCTCCTCCTGAGGCCCTGCATCACCCTCTGCCAAATTGTGCTCTCGGCCTGGCCCCTGGCTTGCTCCACATCCCTGTCAGCCCACCACTCTCTGTGGCTCCCAGAGCCCCTTGAGGGCCTCTCCAGCCCTATCTCTGGCTACCTGGCTCCTGGTCAGTGCTCCCTAACATGTCCTCTGTGGGGCCCTCCTCACCTGCCTCCACATTGCCTCAAAGTCCGCATTGTGGAAGTTTTGCCCTTGGTCCTCCCTTTGTCTCTAGCTCCTAGCCTTGGTAGAAAGCCCAAGGTTTCTGGGTTTTACAGACCACCCAAATCCCCAAGATACACCGAGGGCTGACATCAGGCTTCTTACTTTTTACCTTGCCAAGAAATTACCTAAAAGCCTTCCACCTACTCTCGCCGTATGTCATAAAGGAAATGATAGTGTGCCCCCAAACCCCAGGATGAAGGCTGGGTCTTTGGTGACATGGAATAAATTTCCTTCTGTCCATTGTCTGTCTTTTGTTATTTTGGTTGCACACCACGAGCACCCATTGTGGCATGGCTTCACACAGCCAGCCCATGGGACCACTGTGCCAACCCTAGTGTGAAGCCAAGACAGCTGCCTCTCTAACCTGCCTTCTCTGTCAGCCCAGACGCCTGATCTCACCCCCCCCACCCCTCTGGCCTGCACATCCCAGGGCTCTCCACTACCCAAACTAACCCCTACAATCCCATCCCCTAAGGCCCCACCTCACACCCAGAAAACGGAAATATATGTCACAACGCCTCTGGTTCCTATCCACTCTCCTTAAGGTCACTGTGCAATCACTTCCTGCAGCCCATCTGTCCACATGCTGCCCAGGAAGCTTTCTAAGATACCCATCTTAATCTGTCTCATCTGCCTGAAACATCCAGAAGCTCCAAGGGCCGTTAAGAAGAGCCCACCCGTCTCTGACTGGCACTCAAAGTCCTTGGCGTCAGATCCTAGCGACCCCATCTTCCCTCCACAGTGGGCTACCTCTCATAGCCCCAGGGCATCATTGGCAACTAAAAGCCACAGACAAGGGTAAGTTTATGCTCCAGAAGCCCCTAACTAGGAGAGCAGACAGGTGTGTAAAAAGATTTGCTGAGGGCCAGATAGAGGTGGGGACAAGACGAGGCAGAGAGCACACTGCAGCCCATTGGGATGGGCTTGGGCTTCCTTTGGGGCTTTGGAAGCCAGGCCAGGGCTGGGGAGTGGGGAGCAGCCCAGCCAGGTCCATGTTACTGATTTTGTCAGGAAATATCCACAGAAGAGGTATGGAGTAGGAGGGGTCAAGACTCGGGGGCAGAACTGAGGAGGCCTGAAGAGGGGAGGTGGCAGGGATTGGACTAGATAGGGGCCGTGAAGCGGCATTGCCCAGGAGAGGCTGAAGTTTCTAGCAGGGTCTGAATGGCTGTGGGGGCCATGTGTGAGTGTGTTTTGCCCAGGGTGTCCTTGCCGAGCTGCAGGCTCCACCAGATGTACATTGAGAAAGGTCCATTCCTTATCTCCTAGCTCTGGGCCTCTAGAGCTGGAGGAGACTCCATCCCCACCCCAGAAGGAACCACTCCCTGTGGGGTCCCCAAGGCTAGATAGAGACCCCTGTCCCACCCTGGACCAGCCCCTGTGCCCATACCTGGCTACCCAGTCCCCCCTGGTGCTGGTAGAGGGAGAACCTCTCTTTGGCAGACTCCTCGGCGGTGGGGCTGAGGGGCTTAGGGTCAGACAGGGACCGCTGCAGGGTCTTCATGGGGCGAGGCAGCGTCTGCTGGCGGAGAGCACTGTCGGCCGTGAAGTGCTTCTGGGGACTCACGTGAGCCTTGTTCAGCCTCTCACTGGAAGCAAAGGAGGTGTCCAGGAGCCGATGTGGGGACAGGGGTGAGACTGGTGAGTAGAGGACCTGGGGGGACTTGGGAGGCTGGCGGCTCACAAGCTGTGAGAGGGACTCCGGGGGCAGGTGGGCCTGGTATCCAATCTCCAAGGGATCTGGCTTCTTTTTTTCGAATCTGCCCAGGGGCCCTGGGGTGACGATCTGGATGCCAGGCAGGTAGGGGCTGATGGCAGTTGGCCCGACAAGCTGTGGCCCAGCAACACCCTGGGCCTGCCCGTCTGGCTCCGTCTGGCAGGCCAGGCTCTCCCCACGCCCAGTCTTCTCTGGTGCTGATATGTACCTGACGATCTCCACTTTGGGGTCAGTGGCAGCGGTGATGTGGATGGCTGGAGAGACTCTGGGCGGCTGGTCAGGCTCCGTCTGCACGGAGCAGTCACTGATGGTCTGGATGCCCACGCTGCTTGTGGCCCTCACGGCAGGGGCGGCAGTGGATGATGAGGCAGTAGCATCATGCTTGCTGTCGGAGCCTGAGTCTGAGTGGCGGGAAAGACGAGACTTGCGGCGGCGCACCGGCTGCTCCCATTCGGCGCTGTCCTCATCATCCGTCTGCACGCTGCAGTCAGCACTCCGCCGTGCCCGGCGTCGCCGCGTCAGGAGGTAGCGGCCCTCCCCATCCTCGTCGTCCGTCTGCACGCTGCTGTCTGCAATCCTCCTGACCGCAGAGGGTTCAGGCCCCGACTCTGGCTCGCAGGCGTCCCGCAGGCGCGGCATGGAATGCCGCTTCTTCATGCTGCTGCGGCCTGCCTCCCATTGCTCCTCGGTCTGCAGTGACATGTCCGAGGCAGAGCTGGGGAGACCTCGGTGCAGCATGGGCTCACGAGGCTGCCCAGGCCCCTCAGGCCCGGCCACGGCAATGAAGGCTGCGTGGGTCAGGGGTGGCCAGTACTGGCCATTCTGAGCCATCTCGGTGGCAGCTGGGGGAGGCCCTCGGCCAGGTGCCTCACAGGCCACAGGGAAGGGGGCCTTCTGCCGCTGCTTCTGTTCCTCTAGCTGCTGCTGTAGCTGCTGCTGCAGCTGCTGGATCTGCTCTAGCTGCAGGCGCTGCTGGGCAAGCTGCTCCCGCTGCAGAGCAAACTGAGCCTGACGTTCCTCCTGCTGCTGCTGCAGCACATGGTGCTTGATGGTCTGCAGCTCCTGCAACTCCCGCTGCACCAGCAGCTGCTCTTCCTCGCGGTGCCTCTGCAGCTCCACACGCTCCCGCTCCAGCTCCTCCTGCAGCCGCAGCTGCCTCAGCTTTTCCAACTCCACCCGCTCCCGCTCCAGCTGTAGCAGTTGTTCCTGCTGCTTCCGCTGTCTCTCCTCCTGTGACACTTCCTCCTTCTCAAGCCCTGGCCGGCTGAGGGCCCCACTGCCGCCCCCAAGAGCAGCATCTACTGACGGCTTCTGGCCAGCCAGTGGGGCTGGGGCTGGGGCTGCTACAGCCTCCTTGACAGCAGCAGGGGGAGCTGTGGAAAGAGGCTCTTCCCGAGCAGCCCCTGCTGGCAGCTCTGGCCTTGGTGTGCCCCCGGCCCCTGGGGCCTTGACAGCAGCAGGCTTCCCCAGGTAGACAGGACCTTCAGCAGGTGGAATGCTGGAAGCAGTGGGGAATCTACTTGGTACAGGATATCGGTACAGCCCTGTGGGCCCGAGAGGTACCCGGGGGGCAATCATGGGCAAGCGTGTCAGGCTGGCGAGTGGCACGGCTGTGACCCCACCAGCTGCATAAGGCCTATACATGCCGCCACGCACCATGGGCCGCAGTACTGAGGCAGGCTGGGTGGTGATGGGCAGTGTTGCAGCAATCGGAGTGTTGATAGTCGAATAGATCATGCCATCGGCTGCACGCACAGTGGCTGTGGATGGTAGTAGCTGTCTGACTGCTGTTCCCTGGCCTGCTGTAGGCCTGTACTGGGCCAGGTTTCCAGGACTGGGGTGGCTCTCTGGGAAGGTGGGGTTCCCAAGGAGACCAGGTCTGAGGGGAGCCAGACCTTGTGGGGCACTGAGCCCAGGCCTGGGCTGGGGCTGATACTGCATGAGGTCGGGGCCACCACCACCACTGCCATGCCGCCCTCCATACTGGTCCATAGAGTTGAGGGCAGCGCACATGCGGCTGATCTCACGGGCTGTGGTGGCACTGTACTGGGCCAGGCTGGCCTCCTGAAAGCCAGCTGCATCTCCCCGCGAGCCATACCTATGGTCCGAGTAAATGTTTGACACTGAGCTATAGCGCCGCATGGGAAGTGGGTGAGTCAAGAGGTCTGTGGGATGACGCAGGTCTGTGAATGAGCCATACTGCAAGCCCTGCCCAAGGTAGCGTCCATCTGCAAAGCCCAGGCTGTAAGAATGCTTCAGAGAGCTGAGGTCCACAGCCGAGTCTCGTCCAGGGCCCTGGAAGAGCTGCCCGATCCTGTGGGCATGGTAGTTGAGGCCAGCCTCAGCCAAATTGGTGTCAGACATGGAGGAGTACAGCCTGCCAGGAAGGCCCGGTGGGTAAGGCCTCAGTTCCTCATGGGGCGCGGGCCCCCCTACCACCTGTGCCTGGTAGGTGGGGGGCTCTGGAGGCTCAGGGTCCCGGGGACTGTAGAAGGGCCCACCGCTTTGGCCAGGTGGGGCCACATCTGCTACGCTCTTCTCAGGTGCACTGGGGGCGGGGTGGAAGGCGCCTGTGCAGCTACTGCCAAAAGGGAACTTGTAGACCATGTCACAACACGCCAGCTGTCTCTCAGGCCTCATCCCAGTGAGGTCCAGGGCACCTGCCGGCTCCTCTGGGAGCAGTGTGGTCACAGTGCCGGCTGCGCCCTCTCCCATCTGCACCACCACTGTATGTGGCTTCCTGGCACTTGGCAGGGCATGTGAACGCAGCTCTGCAGGGGTGGCCCGGTGGAGTTCAGCACCCGGCTCTGGCACGGGGCCTGACTTGAGGCCAACACTCTGGGCAGTGCCCACCTGAGTGATCAAAACGTCCCTTCTGGCCAGAGGTGCCACCTGGTTGGGCAGGTTATACCTGGCAAACTTGGCCTCCCTGGGTCTTCCCCGGGGCCCACCGCGATATGGGGCTGTCTGGACAGCCTGCTCCACCTGCTTGACCTGGGCCAGGCACACGGGGCTACCAGCACCCTGGCCAAAGTCAAGCCGGCTCTGGAAGGGGTCTCCATAGACCACAGGCTGCTTTTGCTGAGCCATGAGCACAGATGAGGCCATGGTGATGCTCACGGTGGTGGCAGTGCTGAGGAAGGCATGGGTCTGCTCCTGGGCGTTGAGGTTGATAACCAAAGGCTGCACAGCGGTCGACTGCCGACCTGGGATTGGATCCAGGGCAAGGCCGTACTTCCTCGCTTCCACAGCAAGAGAGGTCAGGTCCATGCCCTGGTCAGTGAGGATGATGGGCGTGGGCTTGACAGCCGTGCGAAGGTCCACCACGGCAGTGCCAGGCAGCCTGGGGCCTGGCTCGACCCTAGACGTTCCAGGGACAGAAGAGATCCGGCACAGGGAGATGTTCTCGGCAGGGAGGGCACCCCAGCCATATAGTGCCAGGGGCCCATCCGCACCAGCACTGGCTGCCCGCGGGAAGCCAGATGGCCCAGGTGGCTCTGGGGGCAGCTGAGACACACTTGGAGGCGTTGTCTGGCTATAGCTGTGGGTGGTGGGCGGGGTGTCAATGGGCGAGCACACTGGGGAGGTGGAGGCGCTGGCATGTACCATCTTGGTCTGGCTGGAGGCATCTGACGCTAGTGTGATGACCATGAAGGGGGCCTCCTGAGAGGACTGCTGCCACACGAGGCGAGGCGTGCTGGGTCGGTGTGGTGTTTGTGTGCCCTGAGCCACCGTGGGTGTCGGGGTGGGGGCCCCAGGGCTCCGTGGCATGTCCAAGGCAGGGGTCGGGCTTGGTGTCTGTGTAGAGAACTCAGCTGTAGCCCTTGGGCCCAGCTTGCCAGGGGAAAATGTGGGACTCTCTGAAGGAGAAGATGGGGAGAGAGGGGGGCTGGAGCCCACAAAGTAGGAATATCCCCGGGAGGCCTGGGGGGTGCCACTCTCACCATCACTCACACTTGGGGCCTTCTCTCTGGCAGCCCGTCCACTGACAGCAGGGCCACTGGGGGCCTGGGGTAGCTCCTCAGTTTGGGATCCATAGTTTGCAGTGGTTGGGACCTGTCCATAGCTGTGGCCTGTGGAAGAAGGCGAAGGGCTGCGCTCAGAGCCTGCTGGGGAGGTTGGAGTCATGTACCCTCGTGGCAGGCCAGCTGAACAAGGGGCTGCAGCTGTGGAGGCTGGGGTCCCAGGGCCCTGGGGAAAAGATAGGCCTACTTCCTTGGAGGCAGAGCTGGGGGAGGCAGGAGAGCTGTGCAGCTTGAGGGGGTCCTGAGGTTCCTTTGCAAAGTGCTGAGTAACGCGAACATCGGGAATGATTCGGCCCCCACTGCTATCTGAGGAGGCGGAGGTGGAGAAGGACACAGGGGCAGCGAGCTGGGTGGGACTGGTACCAGGGGTGAGTGGGCCACCGTTTTGCTTCATGGGGTCCATGTACGCACTCTCGGCATTCAGGAACTGCTTCTCCTTCTTCTTGTCCTCAGCAAAGGCCAGGTCCCGTGAGGAGGCCTGATGCATGCGGGCAATGCTCTGGGACGTCTGAAGGATCTCCTCGTACACGGCTGTTCCTAGACTGGCCGGGGTGCCCTCCGAGGCAGGCTGAGCAGCCCTGCCATAGTCATGGTCAACAGGGTCCTGGTATTCAAAGGAACCCTGGCCCTGGGAGCCTATGGGCTGCGAAGGGCCACCATGGGGCCCGCGGCCCCCTGCTGCCTGGCCTTGTTGCCGCTGGAGCAGCTCGGCCTTCCGCATCATCTCCTCGTAGGCCTCCTCGGCACTCTTGAGGGGCCGGCCGGAGCTGGGAGTAGGGGCACTGCCCAGGGGTGTCTCGGTTGGAGAGTAGAGGGACATGAAGGTGGGCAGGTTGTACTCACTGCCCGACTTGTAGAGCCGGGTGGGGCCGCCATCCAGGGCTTCAGCCTCCGAGTCAAGGGAGGGTGAGGGCGAGTACTCAGAGCAGGAGGAGCGATGCAACTCCTCCATCTCAGCCGCCTGCCTCAGCTCCTCCGTTGGGGAGGCATCTTCAATGGGTGACAGGTTGCTGGGGGGTGTCTTGGAGCGCTCGCGCCGCCGCTGGGCCCGCAGTTCCTCCTTGTCACGCCGGGTCTTGCGGGCAGTGCTGCGGATGCGCTGCTGCTCCACCTCCCGCATCTTCTCCTGCTCACGCAGCAGCTCCTCCTCCTCCCGCAGCTCCTCCTCCTCCGAGGAGTCCTCGATGGTGGGCAGCAGGGGCCCGTGCGAGCGGTGCCGGGCTTTGCGCTGCTGCTTGGCCTCTTCCAGCCGCTGCCGGCGGCTGGGGCTGCTGTCACTGTCCTCCTCTAAGGAGGAAAGAGAGGTGGGTGAGGTGCCAGATGTGTAGCTGGGCGTGGAGGCCGGCAGTGTGGAGGAGTGCTCCCCGCGGGAGCGGTCCTCAGGCGAGCCTGTCAGGCTCTCCATCTCCAGCTCGGGCTCCCGGTCCAGGCCAGGGTCAGGGCCTTGGCCCAGGTCCAGCTCATGGCCATAGCTGCCTGTGCTATTGAGCTCGATGGTCTTGAAGCGGCGGAGCCCGCCCTGCAGGGCCCCAGTGCCGTCCGTGGCCTCTGCTGGGCCTTCCTCAGAAAGCAGCTCCTCATAGCCTGTGGTAGCATTGTGGGGCAGGCGCCTCTTGGGCAGCGCCCCTGGTTCTTGGCTTGGCTCAGACCTGGGCCTGGGGCCACCCTTCTGGGAACCATGTTTGGCCAGGCCGTGCCCAGGGGTGGCAGCATCATCCTCCTCCAGGTTGTCCTCCTCAGCGCTCATCTCCAGTATCTGCCGCCGCATGAATTCCTCATCACTCAGTTCTGCTGCCCGGGCTGGGGGCTGGGGTGGAAGAGGGGACAGGCCACCCTCACTGCTGTCCTCCACGTAGTCATGCCTCAGCTGGCTGCCAAAGTCATCTGAGGACTCAGCCGTGTCCCGCTGTTCCCTCTGGCGTCCCCACTCCAGAGAGTCTTCTTCTTCCTCCAGGATATCCTCCAGCTCCTCATCGGAGTTGAAGGCCTCAGGCATGATGGACAAGGAGTGGGGCCGCCGCTTCTGCTCCTCACCACTGCTGCCAGGTGGCTTGCCCCGCTCACCACTGGGGGCCGGGCCCCGGGCCTCCAACAAAGGCCGCATGCCGCTCCCCACCTTGTGGAGCTCGGAGGGGCTGGGCGGGCGTGGCCCTGTCACCCCTGCACTGTCTAACTGCTCCACCTCCTGCTGTACAACGCCTGTGATCTCGCTCTGGGAGCTGGAGACACCATCAGAGGAATAGCCTGTGTCGCTGAGGCTCTGTGGGCTCCGAGACAGGTCCTGAGAGTAAGTCTTGCCCGGCAGCTCCTGCAGCAGGGTGAGAAGCAGACACTGATTCCCCATGGCAGACAGTGCGTGAGGGAGCCTGGCCCTCTCTGTCAATCCCAGGGCCCTGGGAAAGGATGCCTCCACCTCCCCAGGGATTAGGGCGCACCACCCACTCCATTGTTCTGGCCTTGGATAATTTGCAGATTCCATGTCAAACCCCAAGCTGCCCTCGGTTTTCAGAGAAACTTAACTCCATCTAATAGTAGCAAAACCCAGCAAAGCAACCAACAAGGTGTCAGACACAGGATCAGCCTAGAACTCACAAGCTCCAGGCCCACCAGGGCCTCATCTAGGCGTCCAAGCTGTCCTTTGTGGTCCCAAGGAGCCTGCCTCAGGCCTACATCCCAGTCCCCCAGGGAGCTAAGCCCTTCCCTAGACTGCCCTGCCTGAAAGATAGGATCTCTGGGAATTGAATGGGACTGACCTCTGTCTCCCCACCCTTGGGGGCTTCTGGAACAGCCTTCACGACAGGGGTGGCAGGTTCAGCCCTCCGCGCCCCCATCTTTGCTTTAGGAGTCCCAGGGGGCAGGGTAGTCTCTGGAGGTGGCTTCAGCACAGGCTCAGCTTTAGCTGGGACTCCTATCTTCTTTTCCTGGGCACTGCTCGGGGTCTTGCTGGGTTCAGAAGCCCTGAGGGGCTTGGCCTGGGGACTGGCCTTGGTGGGCAGGGGACTGGCCTTGGCAGGCGAGGGACCTAATGGCTGGCCCAGCCCCTGTGCCCCTTTCTGCTTTGGAGGGGCTGTTCCAGATGCACGGTGAGGGGCTCCTACAGGGGGCTGCGGTGAGGTGGGCAGCGGCAGAGGGGTTGGCTCTCCCAGGTTGCCCTCCAGCAGCCGCTTAGTTTGGCAGTTCAGACAGAGCCACTCAGTTTTCTGTAAGGCAACAAGAGAGGAGGGAGTTTGATGAAAATCACAAAGACACTGAAGTACTCAGATTCTGTCCATGACTATTTCTATAACCTGAAGGAGGAGAAAGTCTTCCCAAGCATGACACTAAAGGCACAAGGAGAAAAAGACTGATAGATCTGTTGCCCCCAAATGACAGACTTCCCCATCCTTTGGATGCATATATACAGAGTTAAAATGACAAACCCAAAAGAAGGGTCCCTTCCTTACCCCATAGAGAGCTTTTCCCTTGGCCAGAAAAGGAGGAGAACCCATAGGGGAGGGGAGGCTACAGAAGTATCACAAGGATCTGGGAAGAGGGGGAGCTGGAGATCACCCCCAGGGAGGGAACAGCTCCTGGGAGAGGTGTAGGGCCCCCCAGGTGAGAGCCCCTGCAGACCAGGAATGGCATCAGACAGGGAGCACCTCCTGGATGCACTGCCCCACCCCAGCCTCCTAGCTCTCAGACATCAGACACCATCCCTCCCCCTGAAGTAAGGGCTGTGCCTGGAGGCTGCAGGCTCCAGGGGAGGCTGTCTGGGAGAAGCCCTGATTGGAGGTTGGGGATGGGGCTGAGCCATCCCCTCTGGCACCCCCCCAGCCCAAGTCACCTTGTCTAAGGCCAGCAAAGACTCCCAAGTAGAAGCCTCCTCCTGCTCCCAGGGCTTGGGGCTGTTCTTCTGATGGGGATTGTGTCTGCCAGCCCTTAGGCCAGGGGCCCTGGTTCCTCCAGAGCTTGGCTGGGATCAAATTCTTGACCATCAACACTTTCAGGATCACCCTGTCTGTGTCAGGCTCAGTGCTGGGGGCTGGAGACACAACCATGACTAAGATGGACACAGGTCTTAATGTGTCCAACCAAGTCTAAGTCCCCCACCTCCAGATGTCTGCACAGGGGTGAGGTCTGAGCATCCCAGGCTCTGAGCAAGTGATTTCTGTAGCACGTCAGAGGCTGGCAGGAGCCTGTCTCCCAGGAGCCTCCTCCAGAGACAGTGCTCCTCTCTGGCAAGACTTGAGTCCCTGCCCTGGCCCACAAGGGGTTGGGTAGGGAGTGAAAGTGACAGTGCACACCTGTGCCTGCTCTTGCCCCAGCGTGCAGAGCCTTGGCGGTCCCACCTTCCTGCTGATGCACATCTGGGTGCTCAGACACTCAGGTTCCCACCAGCAGCTTGGCCACTCGGATGGGACATTAGGAGAACCAGAGGACACAGAACCATACGGTCAAAGAGCCAAGGACAGGGCAAAGAGGTGGCTCTTGGCCCTCACCAGCCCAAAGTGGGCCACATTCTCAGCACCCTTACCTCACATGCTGCCCCTGGGCCCCAGTCAGACCCTAGCCTACCTGGAAGAGCATTGGAAGCATGGTACCTCCAGGATGCCTATCCTCAGCCTGGCATCCTCAGGACACCATGGTATCAATGATTTTGCCCTCGTTTTCTACCCACAGAGCTACATACCTTCTCTGCCCTGGGCCCCAGCAGAGGCCACGTGGGGTGGGTGGCAGGGCCTTGGTGTTTATTGAGAGATAGGTCTGCTCCACAGGCTTGTTACACAGGGCCTTGAGACTGCTTCCCTGAGACTGGAGCTCCAACTCTGCCCAGACCAGCACATACAAATCCATACACAGGGCAGAGGGGCTCAGCTATGGAGGAGGAGCCTTCAGAGGTCCTGCACATACTCATCTTATCCCTTGCAGGGCCTGGCCCTAGCACACGTGCTGACGCCTTTAGACCTTATCTCATGCTCTATGTATCCCTCTACAAACTCCTATGAGGCAATGGGTGCTGGCCACTTGCTGCACCTTGGACTCACTTGGTGCCTGACAGGGTCTGTCCTAAAGGAGCTGGGGGAGAGTGCTGGATGGGCTGAATCAGGAATCCCCTCCACATGTGCCCCAGCATCACCTGGGGTCACAACGGAAATCCCTCCATGACAGAGAGGACTGTGAGATGGAGAAAAGATCCTAGAGAGGTGGGATGGGTAGACAGAGGCTCAGAGAGAGTTCTGGAAATGGGCAAACAGTCACTTCCCCAGTCCCAGGATCAGCATGATGTGGTTAGGATCCAGGCCTAGACAGGGGGCTGGCCCAAGGCAACAGTGCCCTGACTCCATCTTGGGTCCATGTACACAGCCATCCCAGGTTAGGCCTCTCAAGGTGAGGTCATCTGCTTTGGCTCACCTTGGTGGCTTGGCAAACCTCTGACCTCCACCTCTAGCCTGCAGACCCCACCCCAAAAGCCACAGTCCAAACAAAGTAAGAGCACCTTGGAAGGGTGGACTGGATGGAGGCAGCAGAGCTGATGCCAAGAGCTAAGACCCAACCCCTGCAGTGGCCTTCCTACCTGAGCCCAGAGGCCCAGCCCTCAGCAGAGCATGTCACATGCTCCCCAGGGCTTTGTTCCTTCCCACGCTTACTCACAGAGGCAGCCAGGCTGCAGAAAGGGCTGCCAAATTGTCGGCCCTCTTGTTCCCGGCTCTGCTATAGCAGGGAGCAAGGGAGGGAGGGAGGGCAGGAGGAGGCATGTGAGGTAAGAGCTAAAAATAAACACCTGACCTGGCTGCTGGAGGCCCTTCCCCAGCCCTCTGGGGGTTGGGGGAGAAGGGTCCAGGGCACTGAGGCCGTTAGAGGTAGAGCGGAGAGACCAGGCTGAGTCCCAAGTCTTCTGGAGGATGGGGATGGCATGGGTGGCAGGCCTGCAGACTCTCTAAGGCTGGATGCTGGAATGCAGCTGCAGCCTGAGACCTTGACTCCTTTTTTCACGCTGTTCTGCCCCCCACTTCATACCCCCACCCCACCCCTGCTCATTCATTCCGTGTTCATTATTCCTTCTCCCCTTTTAGTATTGACTCCCTCATTCATTCATTCACTTGCACATTCTCTCTCATAGTCTTCCTCACCCAGCCCCAGCCCCTGGGGAGCTGCTGCTAGTGTGCCCCTCTTCCTATCCCCTTTGGCAAGTGGGCAGGGAATGAGCTGGGACCTGGGGATGGACCATGGGAGGCTCTGATGACCACTTCTGTCTCGCTTTTCTCTGTCCAGTTCCTTTCTGAGGGCAGGAAGGTAGGAATCCCCCAAGGGCAATCACTGCCTAATCACGGTAAGAGGTGCAGGTACGCAGACCATCAGATGGAGGTAGGTGGGTTCAGGATGAGATAGGGGAATGGAGTTGTCTGAGAGAGTTGGTGGGGCGCCCCACTGGCAGGTCTCACCTGGGACCCCACTGGCTGCCGTGCCTTGTGAGCCAAGAGAACCCAGAGAGGCTCCACTGGAAGCTGGGCATCCTCCCTGCACTGTCTGCCATTCGCTGCCCCAATGACCCTGCAGAACATAGGCATTCTGCATGTGGAGGTGGCCGAGGTGTCAGTCTGGTTACGGTGACACCAGGCTGGCTGCCTAGCCCAACATCTCCCTAGCCACACTGCTGAGGGTGAAAAGGATGCTCAGATGTAAAAAGCCTAAGCCTGGCACCCTGGACCACAGGGATGGCCATCACAGGTACTGCTGTTCCTCTTCTGACTCTGTGACCCTACCCTTCCTGTCCCGGGTCAGGCTTAGGCTCCTCCCTTCTGGGTCTCTGCCTCCAACAAGAGGAATCCTCTCTGATATGCCCAACATATACTTTTATGTTTGGGCTGCGCTCTCTTCATGCTCCAGTACCAAATGTGTTCATACCCTGTGGGCCGGCCCTCATGAGACCAGGATCTTGCACTGGCCACAAGGTCAATTCATACCCAGATAGTCGGGGCTGGTGGGGACTCTTTCTTCCCTGTACAGAGACTCTCTTTTAGGGCACTCTGGTGCCAATTGCCTGACTCGAGGGCTGACTATGTGTTAGACTTTGCACAAGGATCTGAGGTACAGCATCTCACCTGGTTCTCACAGAAAGCTAAGCAGGAGTACTAGGGCCCGCAGTCCACATGGGAGGAAACCAGGCCCCCTGAGATCACTACCCCCAGAGGCAGACTGAGGCAGGTCTAGAGCGAAGCCGCAGCTGGCCTCTCTCCTGATGCCTTGGCTACTGCCCTCGCCCCAAATAAGCCCAGCCCGACCCACATATCACAGGGGCCAGGCCCTTTGCCCAAGGCGGCCTGTCTTCTCAAGACCATGGCTGGAATTTTGGCAATTATAATAAGATAAGAAACTGGCAATGTTACTGTAACAATTCTAATTCCACTAATTTCTTCACAAACTCTATTTTGAACCAAAAGCCAATTAAAAATTAAGCCAAAGGGTACTATTATCCTTCAAAAAGATAAATAGGTAAGAAATTTGGAATCAACAACTCTTAATTATGAAATGACTCACTAAACAGCACTTTGGTTATTTTTTCAGAGGAAATTTCAAAGGGAAAAGGGATCTAGTTTTCCTGCTTCCTCCACTGTATGCTCTGGCCTCCCTGGCCACAAAAAAGGTAAAAATATTTTTATAGCTCAGAGATATTAAGGGTAATTCCCACCCTGGCAGCTCAGACAGGAGGCTCTGGCCTCAAGTGGAGCCACAGCAGGCCCAACAGGCCTGTGGGGAGCAAACAGTGGGGCTCCCTGGTCCATCCTGCCCTAGGGCCCCCAGCCTGCATGCAGACACAGGTCCCTCTGCCTCACATGGTGCACAGAGACAGCACAATCATGCCCAATCTGACAGGCCAGCCTTGGTCAAGGAAGGTGTGGGAGAGACAACCAGGGCAGACCTACCCCTCAGTCCTGCAGAAGAACCTGCTCGAACTGCCACCTCACTTCCAAGGCAGGATGTGTCTGGGGCACCTACTGAGAATCAGGAGCCTTTTATCAAGAACACAAAGGGAAGAGCAAAATTGCTCCAAAGCCAAGTGGCCATTTACTGAGATGAGATTGGAGGTGGCCCGTGGCCTGGTTAAGAGTCTCAGGGAAGGAAAGCAACAGTGCTGGTGGGGAGGGTGAGGGAAGGAGACAGACCAAGCACCAGCCCCTCCCCATCAGCCCCTTGCAAGACCCAAAGCAGGCAAAGCCACGAGAAGGTTTCGGTCATTGGATGAGGGAGGACAAGGGCTTAGAGTAGGGCCATGGCTACAGGGATGGAGAGCAGAGGCCAGTGGGGAGGCAATGCCAGCAGGGCGTGGTCCATGGAGTGGATGCTGAGGTGAGAGAGAGGGAATTGAGGATGACCCCAGGCTGCCAGCCTGCATCTCAGCGTTGATGGTGGCACGGTCTCCATGGGAACCACAGGAGGGGGCATCATGGCTGCCCATCCACACCTTCCCCAGAAGCAGCCACAGGCCCTCCGAGGATGGCAGCATTAACAAGCAGAGCCATGAGGAGAAAGGAGTCAGAGAAGCTGGGCCACCTTCTGGCTGCTGTTAGGAGCAAGCAGCAGGGAAACAGGGGCCGCGGGTGGGGAGGAGCTAGGAGGAGCAGGGTGCCCAGCAGCATGGCCATCAGGCCCATGGAACCCATCAGATCCTGTGGAGGCAAGGGTCGTCCTGGCCCAGGAGGTGGCAGTGGGGCAGGATATGGAGACAGGAGGACATGGAGGGGTTGGGGCAGGGGGCAATGCTGGCCATCAAGGGGCAGAAGCTCCGGGATTCAGGGAGGCGACAACCAAGTAGCAGTGAGAGGCTTGGATCAGAATCCAGCCTGCTCCCCCAGAGTCAGCATGTGACTGAGACACTTCTGTTTGGGTAGAATCAGCACTTCCCCTGGCCTGGCCCAGAGGCTGCTGAAGGGAACTGTCAGGAACATTTATACTCCCGGACAGAGAGAGTTTTCCCTTCCTTTCTGCACATTCTGCTTAATGAGGAAATGTAGGCCAAGAGGTCTCTCAGGGACCTCCAGGCTGGGCCAGCTCAGCAGTCCAACTGGGCTCAGCCCCTCAGCGTCGGGCCACCCCACCCAGCAGTAAGTGCATGCCTGGCTCTGACGGGAGTGCCTCTGGTGCCGTGGTAACCCTGTTGGTGTCCCCTTGCCTCTCTGTTCACCTGGCTCTCTGGCCAGTTGTCCTCCAGTAAACCACTGGACCAAGGGCTTGGGAGGTAGTAATGTGGGTCTGGAGGGCCACATGGGCATCACATGAGGTTGCTTGTCCCCTTAGCCTGCCCCTCCCTGCATGTTGGAAAAGATGGCCTGTGGCAGCCAAAGTTATCTTCCTTTTCGCAACGGGCTGCTCCCATGGAGGTTGGCCCAAGGCAAGTCAGAACAAGGTGCTGCAGAGACCACAACAACACCACGCGCTTCTCTGTTGCTTTCTGGGCCAGCGGTGGTCCGCGCTCCACACTCCCACGCTCCTGCCGTCCCAGGAGCCCCAAGGACTCAGGTGACTCCCTGTGTGCAGGAGGAGGGGGCTGGCTTGACCATCTCCTGATACGACACAGCTGGGGGCACATCCACCTGCCAAGAGGAGTCAGTCATAGACCCCAAGGGCACGCCATGAAAGGGGACACATCCAGCTACGCCCAAGGCAGCCAAGGGTTCACATGGATGGCCCTGGGCAGGGCGGAGCGGGTAAGGGAGTGGGTAAGCAGAAGCAGCCTCCAGGCCCAGGCTCGTCCAGCTCTGCCACGGTACCTTCACACCTTCGGAGCCTCCCAGGCTGGACCCCGGGCTGGGCCCCAGGCTTTGAGAGAACACTAGGCCTCCTACTCCCTTCCACTCAGGTTTGCACAGTGACCAGAACTCTCTCTTGGGAGAGAGACCGCAAAGACAGGCCTCAACCTGTCTTGAACACTTTCTCAAACTTCCCTGTGGGTAAGAAGAGCATCTCTGCGCATCCCCACAAATAGTCCCGGGGAGACTAGGCCCAGCCAGGGGAAAACATGTGGACCAAAGGCTGTGATTTTGACAAGTAGACATCAAAACCCATGACCTCAGAGGAAGGGATGATGGGAGGATACTGCCTGGCTGGGCTAGAGCCTGTGTGGGGGGCACAGGCCTCTGCCTAACAGCCCTTTAATCTCTGTGAGGGTCAGACTGAGGGCAGGGTGGGACCTCAGGGTTGTCCTACATGAGCAGGGGTGGTTGGCATCTTCCATCAGGGCCATCCCCGTGAAAGCTGGGAATGGGGAGGCCAGTTCAGAGCCTCCAGAGCCTGGCTACCTCTGGGACCAGTCTTAGGGCACTGGTCAGTCAGTCAGAGGCAGCGGGCATGATTATTCTACCTGCTGTGCCAGTTTATTCTCTGAGTGGAAGGACCGGCCCAGGGCAGGGACAGATAAGGGAGCATAGCCCCTCTGCAGCTGTGTAGGGGCAGCCCTGTGACTGTTACAGACCCAGCTTTCCGCAGCCCTTTCTGGCTCCCATGCCCCCATGACCCCAGGCCTCGGCCCCTCATCAAGGCCCAAAGGAACATGCTTGGTCCAGCTCTCTTACCTCCACCAGGTGGGGCGTCGGGTTGAAGCCACACAGGTTGCACACCTGGAGTTTGCAGGTGGTGCAGGTGTTATAGTTGGCAGGGCCCTTGCTGCCCACGTTGAGCTCGGCTTGGCACAGTGGGCAGGTGGCCCTTTCCTTCGGTATGGTCTTTGGCTTGGCAGGAGCCTTGGACACTGCCTGGTGTTCTGCTCTGCCATGCTTTGGACTGGCTGTTCCCCCAGTTCTCGCCAGGGCTCCAGGCCCTGATCCAGGACCTGTTCCAGCTCCAGGCTCAGTTTTGGCTCCAGGTGCTGGCCCAGTCCCAGGCCCTGAGCCTGGGGGTCTCGGGCCAGCCTCCTTGCTGGCATCGCTGAAGACGATCTTGGGCGGCCCCTTGCTGGGGGCAGGCTGGCCCTGGGGGTCGGCCTCAGGCTGCACAGACATGAGGGTGCTTGCCTGGGTCAGCAGCGATGCACCAAGGCCAAAGAGCTTCCCAGTGAGGCCCTCCTGGGTCTGCTCAGCAGCACCAGGCCCAGAGGGCACTGTGGTGGCACTTTTGGCCAGGGCCTCCCCTGCAGGTGGCCTGGGCTCAGCTGTGGAAGGCTTGATGGGGAGAGGGGGCTGTGGAGACACCCTCCCCACCTCTGGAGGGGCAGCTGCTTGGGCAGGCCCCGGCACTGAGGTGGCCCTGGCTGTCTCAGCCTGGCGGGGGCCAGGCTGTGGTCCCGCTGGGCCCCGTGATCTCTCTTGCTCTGGCTTCCCCAGGGGCTGTTTGGCTGGGGACTGGGCTGGAGACAGGGCTGGGGAGTGCAGCTGCTGCTGGCTCTTGGAGCGAGGCGCAGTGGTCATGTCCATCCCTAGAGCCCTCTGCATCTGGCAGTTCAGACAGAGCCACTCCTTCACCTGAGGAGGAAGCATCATGGTTATCAGGGTGGTCAGGACTGGGGGCGCCCGTGGCCCACGTCACTGCAGCCAGCAGCCAGGCCCAACTCCTTGCATAGGCAGGAGCGCCCAGCCTGGCTCAGGTGTTTCTGGGCTGCCAGGAGGTGGGGCTGAAGGGGCAGATGGCACCACCCTACCCTCTAGGAGCTGCCAGGTGTGTGGAGCAGAGCAGAGGCAGTTACACATTCCCCATCCCCAACTACCAACCCACTGCCTGCCAGGGTCCTCCCCACATCCAGTGGCTCTGCCTCTGCTCTGTGTGTATCATCCATCTCCATCCACATCCTGCCTCATCAATCCTTGCTACCATCCTCCTGGCTGGATGACCCCTTAGCCTCCAACTGGTCACTTTCTTTCCCCTGCTGCCCCCTTCAGGCCATTTCCACAAAGCAGCCACAGTGATCTCAAACGTAAATCAGGAGGGATAGCATGGCCCTAGAGCAGTGCCTGGTATGCAGTAGATATTCAGTAAAAAACTTGCAGAATGAATAAAGAGAAACAGGTGGGAGAAGGAGGCATAGCGAATAAAAAGAAACCATAATTTCTGTCCTGGAGGAGCTTGGAGTCGAGCTGAGGAGACAAGACATATATGAACAATCTTGAGAGCAAAAGAAGTGAAGGCAAAGTTAAGCAATGTAAGTGACGTAAGTAGAATGAAAAAGGCTTTTGTTTTCTTAAGGAAGACAATTTTTTTAAAGAAAATGGGATAACTTGTGCCTCCAGAATAAACAAGGCCTGTGTTGCTGTTCACGTGTCATTAACTCCTCCCTGAGGAAAGCAGGCTCATGACTCAGGGTGGGCCAATCACTGCTTTCAGCTGGGGAGGGGGCAGTGCAGGGATGGGCAGGTGACCTTGTCAACAGGGCCAACCAGAGCCCTTCCATGTTACTTGGTGGATGACTGTTAGGCGATAGGATCACTCGTCAGAAGGATGTAGCCTTCTAGTGGTCAGTAGCCATCTTGCCCAGTAGGCAGACAGGTACTAAGGATGAAGTCAGCAGACAGTCAGAAGTGGAGCCAAAACAAGGAGGAGCAGGCAGATCTCATGACTTCACTTAATTCCCTGGGTTCACCTATGCCTTTAGTCTACCCTCAGACCTCCAGTTACATGAGCCAATATTATTTCCCTCCAAAAAATCCACATATAAATCAGAGCACGTCACTTCCAGGTGTGTGGAGCAGAGCAGAGGCAGTCACACATTCCTCGAACCCCTCTAGTGGATTCCATCATGCTTACCATGGGAATTCTTTCCCATGGCCCATGAGGCCCCTGATCTACCCCAGCCTATCCCCCTCTCCCCTGAGCTGCTTCACCCAAGATGCACTGGGCCTCCTGTTCTGCCAAGCGGTCCTGTGAGCTCTCCTCTATAACCGGGGCCCTTGCACTCACTATTCCCTCTGCCCTCAGGCCCAGCTAGCTGTGCAGGTCTCAACCAAGTACCAGTTCCCCATCAGGGCCCTCCCTCGCCACATGATCTAAAACACCTCCGAAGTACTTATCTAATCACCTGTTTATTTTCTTCACAGTAATTATTCTTTCTCCAAGTTTCCGCTACTTCGTTTCTTTGGGTGTCTCCTGTCTCCCTACTGGTCCCTGAGCTCCTGTTGAGGTGATGTGTGCACGAAGCAGGGCTCACTCCAGACAGGCTCCCTGTGGGATTAGTCCCGATAACCCGTTACTAGGGGCACGGCTCTCCCAAGGCCTTGGCCATGAGATTGGAGATTCGGACAACAAGGAGGAGGCTGGCTCCTCCTTCTCAACCAGATCCAAGGACAGAGGCTAAGTCTGCTCATCTATGGTTGCAGCCAGAGTCTTTGAAAGCCCCGTGGTGGCCCCGTTGCCAGGGAAAGGTCCAGTCTGGTCCCTGGGGCAGAAGGCCTGTTCTGTTCACCCTCGGGGTCCCTCAGGCCTGCTCCATGCCTGGAGGCCGTAGGGCTGTGCTGCTGCCGCCGGGGCTGACTTGCCAGTTTGGGAGCCTGGGCTTGGCTGTCTTTCCCAGAAGCACAAGAGCAGCATCCGAGGAGTGGGGAGGAGACTGCACTTTGGTGCATCCACCCCGTCATCCAGCACTACACAGAGCATGTTCACAAGCATTCTTTCATTTTGTCTTCACAGTAGAGAAAACCAAGATCTAATATGATTTAGATCGGCTCATAACCAGCTTGTGCAATTACCCAGCCAGGAAGCAGTGCTGCTGGCGAGACTGGCCTTGCCAGCCCTGTCCTGCTCCTGAGCTGCAGCCTGGAGCCTGGTGCCTTTTGCATGTCTGCCTCTTCTGGAGGCCACTTAGTCTCATATAGGTCAGGTCATGGATCTAGAAGCTGCCCCTGCAAAACTCAAAGACCAAGCCCAGCTCTAGAAACCCTAACAACAGTGATGCCCAAGCACCACAGTGTGAAGCCATCGCCGCAGCTAGATGCTTTTGAAGACCCAAGGCAGCTTCATCTACTTTTGGACAGAGAAAGCCACAGACGAAACGATTTGCGTCCCTGGAACTCAGTCCAAAGACTCCTTTAGAAGAGTCATTCTTGGCAGGGGTGAGGGGGGTTCACTCCCACCAAAAGTGAGCTTCCAGGGGCAAGCTGATTACTCACTCTCAGAGGGACCCTGAGAGGATCACCCTCCCAAGGAGAGGCTAGGCCCTGACCCAGGGCAGCAGCCACAAAGTCAGTTCCTGCGGTGGGTGCCCAGCCTACACCCAAGGTCCTGTGTCTGTCATGCACCCACCAGCTGTGGCCTGCCCTGAGGTGGGAATTTCCAAGAAGAGGAACCTAGGAGGTAAGGCTCTTTATCCTGGGACTTCAGGGTGACCCTCCTTTGGGTTCTGGACAGGGTTGAACCAGGGCATGTGCTAAAACTCCTGCACTCACCACCAGAACCTTCCCTTACACAGCCCCCGTCACCCAGGCTGTCACAGGCGTTTCACCTAAAATAGAACCTCTCCAAGAAACGGCTAAAACGCCCCTCAGTGACTCATCTCCCAGATGGGCGCAGCTATTTCTATCCAGCCTCTTCCAGACAGTGAGAAGCCTTGACCGTGCCCTCCCCCAGCCCCTCCCAGGCTCGGGCCCAGCAGAGAGGCCCAGCACACGAGGCTCCCAAGGAGGACACTGGCTGGGGGATCTCTCTGAACATAGTAAGACTTCTGTTTCTGCCTCCCCCACAGACCCCCAGGAGCCTGCTGGGAGGAGCTCACCCTCACCCTCTCCAAGGTCCTCACCCCGTGTTAGGGGGATGAAGGCTGTCCCACTGGGTAGGGAGAGAGACGGCTATGCACCACCAGCCACCTGCCCACCTAGGCTGGGTATACATGACCAGGCCTGTGGCAGCTCCCCCAAACCCCGGGACCAGCAGCAGTGAGAGGCTTCCTCGGCTGAACAGTGTCTGTGGCTTCTGGGCACCCTCCTAGCCGGCTAGACACCAGAATCAGAGGGCATGGCCTTCTACCAGTGCAACAGGGAACCTTGCCTCAAGTCCTCTTGTCTCTTGGCCAGGAGAAGGGTGGGTCATAGACCTCATGCCCCAAGACCCAGATGCGGAGCTAAGGGGGCTTCCCGGGGCTTACTCAGAGATGGAGATGGATGGCTTTGCCAGACACTAGCTTTTGTCAAGCTGACCCTTCCTGCCAGTAAGGAGGCCCATCCTGCCATCTCAGCCCAGTGGGGGCCTGAGCAGTTGTAGGGAATGGCAGGCTCAGGCCAAGAGCTGGTTTGGAGGTGGGGGAAGCAGAAGCTACAGGAAAGCGGGAGCCACTGCCTGCTCTGCCAGGAGCCTGCTAGGGATTCAGTAAAGCAGGCCTTGTGGGCTCTGTGGCTCTGAAGGGACTGTCTCCTCAAGAAGAGCCCTTCTTAGCTGCTCCCTTACTGTTCAATGTGTAGAAGGGCAGCTAAGGTGGCACCAGAGAATCCAGAGGCCTGGGGACCAGCTGGGAGCTCTGTGAACCATGTGTTGAATGAGCAGTCAGCCATGATTTGTCTGCGTAGTTACTCCCCGTGGTTCCCTCTCTAATGGGCTCGGGGGTAGGAAGGGGGTGGTGGCAGTTCTTAAGGGGGGCTTCTACATTTTTCCCACAGGGACACAGGTGGCACTGCCACCCTGTGCCTCAGCCCCAAATGGTGGGATCTAGCCTTGCATGTCATATTTGGCCCCAAAGAATGCTGCCCGGGGAATCTGCTTCTCCTCCCGGGTGGAGCCTGCAGTGCTGTCACCTCCACTGCTGCCAAGAAGCGCTGAGGACCCCCAGCCGTAACAGATTCTCTTTCCACCGTCCCCTCCCACCTCCCCACCAGCAAGGAAGAAGACGTCACTTAGCCTGTCTTCCTGCAGAGAGCAGCGGCTTGTGCCTCTAAGGCCCAGCCCTCCCTGGGAGAGCAGGGACTCAGTGTGTCGGATCACCGCACTGACATCATGCCTGATGCTGCATTCATGCTTTTTTCCATTTTTGTACAAGTTGAAACATCACAGAACCAGCTTATAAATCAGCCTTCCCTGCTGGTGCCAAATCCAGAGGTTCTTGGGAGGGTCCCCCACTGGCCGATGTGCTCCGTGCTCTTCCGGGCTATGAATCACTGGCCACGCCTCGACAGGAGGCACATAACCCACTGTGAGCCGAGGACAAGGGCTGGCCTGCACCCTCGCACTGCCCATGGCATTGGGCACATCATGTGCTCCACCAGGCATCCAGCTGCCCGAAGTCTGCTACTGACCTGCTTTGCCCATCAGCTGGCTGACCTCAGGCTTAGGGGTAGGCACCACAGGGTCCCTTAGGGCAGGGCACATTGATCCAGAGCTGGGTCAGCCAGGCCTGGCCCACAGGGGAGGACTGTGACAATCTCAGCAGGTTGGGACCCTGAGGGAGGCCCTGGGAATCTGCCCAGCATCTGAGGCCAAGATTTCGGTAGTAGAGGCTAAACCTAATTGCTGCTTAGGGCTGGAAGGCCTCATTAGCCTGGAGCTTCGT